AAAAAAAAAAAAAAAAAAAAAGGAGTTGGGGGTCTTGCTGTGTTGCCCAGGCTGGTCTTGAACCCCTGGCTTCCAGCAATTCTCTTGTCTCAGCCTCCCAAAGTGCTAAGATTATAGGCGTTGAGCCACTATACTTGGTGGTAAGTGTATCGTACCTTTTTGGTTTGGCTGTTGTGCAGACTACAGTTTAGCATAAAGGCCCTCCTTGAGACGGAGTCTTGCTCTGTCACCCAGGCTGTAGTGCAGTGGCGTGATATCAGCTCTGTTGTCCAGGCTGGAGTGCAGTGGCGAGATCATAGCTCACTAAAGCCTCAAGCTCCTGGGCTCAATCCTAGCACTGTGGGAGGCCAAGGCAGGCAGATCACGAGGTCAGGTCCTCCTGCCTCAGCCTCCCCAATAGCTGAGACCACAGGCAGGCACCACGGCACCCAGCTTTTTTTTTTTTTTTTTGTAGAGATAGGGGGTCCAACTTTGTTGCCCATGCTGGTCTTGAACCCCTGGCCTCAAGTGATCTTCTCACCTTGGCCTCCCAAAGTGCTGGGATTATAGGCATGAGCTCCACACACGCCATGCTGATTTGTTACACATTGGCTGTAGTTGCTTTTGTGCAACATGGCACAGTGGTTGTGACTAAGAGCTGCATGCCTGGTCCTTTACAGAAAACGTTTGCTGATCCTAATCTCAGGGATTGTGGCTGTGTTGACTTTGCTGCTTATTGTTTGATTACAGCCCAGACGCTGAAGTTACTTATTAACTTGTAGTTTTATCCTATAGAAAAGAAAACTTCATTAACTAGTTTCGTATCTAACATCACAATCTTTTTCTAGAGTTCTTCTCTTAAAATGCTTACTGGCCAGGCACAGTGGCTCATATCTGTAGTCCTAGCACTTTGGGAGGCTGAGGAGGGAGGATTGATTGAGCCCAGGAGTCTGAGACTAGCCTGGGCAATAGAGCGAGATCTTGTATCTAATAAAAATTTAAAAAATCAGCGGGGCATAGCAGTGTGTGCCTGTATTTCTACTTACTTAGAAGGCTGAAGCAATAGGATCACTTGAGCCCAGGAGGTCGAGGCTGCAGTGAGCTGTGATTGCACCACTGCACTCCAGTCTGGGTGGCAGAATGAGAGCCTGTCTCAAAAAAAAAAAAAATGCTTACAAATACATGAAATACATGTACCCAGATTCTCAGAATAATCCATGAATCAGAGTTCCCAAATGCTCCTTTTCTGAACTGATGTGTAATAGATCGTTAATGCGTGTTCATTCTATATATGAGTCTTTTTTTTTTTTTGTATTTGAAAATTATACTTTGACAAGGCTTTGTCTGGAGGTGGTTGCTGCAAATCTGCTCAGATTTCCAAAGAGGTTGAGAGAAGCAGGTACTGAGTGAGCTGGGTACCCTCAGGGCTTCCCAGGGTGCTTGCTCTGTGGCAAACACCAGCCCCCTGCACTGCAGATATCCACCCGGGGGTCCAATCAGATCATCAAGACTTCTGGGACTGGGCGAGGGGGCTCATGCCTGTAATCCCAGCACTTTGAGAGGATGAGGTGGGCAGATCACTTGAGGTCAGGAGTTTGAAACCAGCCTGGCCAACATGGTGAAACCCTGTCTCTCTCTACTAAAAATAAAAAATGAGTCAGGCGTGGTGGTAGGGCGCCTGTAATTCCAGCTACTCGGGAGGCTGAGGTGGGAGAATCACTTGAACTCAGAAGCTGGAGG